CCTGCTGAGAGGAGCCGGGTTAAACTGTCCACCTCGGTCCGGTGCACGGGCAGGCCAGGAGGGAAGTCACCAACCAGCACAGCCGGCGAGAGCCTCCTAGGGATCTTTGGTCTCAGCACAAACAGCACTCACAAAACCAGAGCAGAGAAGTTACTCAAAGAAGAGTCTCGTGCCTGGAACCCTGGAGATTTTACCTGCGAGATGTTCCAGGGTTCCCCTCTCGCAAGGGATGCCCTTCTGAGTCCGCTCTCCATCTGGCTCAGAAAGATGGTTCTGCACCACATGGGGCAGCAACGTGGCATCCCCGGCACAGGCTCAGCACATCCCGGCTAGAAACGAACAAGGCAGCTCTTGCACACACACACAGACCGGCACACACACACGAGCTGGATGACAGACACTCGTGAGATGAGTGTGGGCCAGGTACCCCCCATGATGCTGGAGCACCAGCTGGCCTGCAAAAATGGAAAGTTTATGTAGCTGGGAACAGAAATTCAGAGCTGTGTTTGCTGCACTAACAACCACAGTAAGATCCTAGATAAATTCTGTGTTTAGTGTGAATGCACAGGACAAGGGAGACCACCAAGCAGGCCACCTTCTACCAAGACTGACAATCTGTCACATCATCAACATCTTGAGAACAGCAACTGCAAGCACCAACAGAAGCACTGACCCCTAAAACGCAGCGTGCAAAACCAACTACACCAAGTATAACCAACCTGAATGAGCTAACGAGAGCCCAGGTGACTGCCAAAGTAACTAGCTGGTGGGTCTAGTACAAGCTCAGAGGTAGGAGTAGCTTCACAGAAGCCCCCCCTGCTCCACCACCTCAAGCACTGGTGAGTTCAGACCCTATCTACCACATCGCTGCCTTCAGCTCCACCAATAAACTTCTGTTGCTGCTTTCCTCAGATTATCTTATTTTGATTTAACCATCTTCGTCAGGAACTGCTGAGAAATTAATTCAGCTGTTGCCTTGTAAAAGGAACTTAACAACAAGGAAACGTGTTTTGAACGAATCAGGCAGAGCAAACAAAAATGAAATCCTCCGACCAAGCTGAAAGGCCACCTCCCTCCTGCCCACGGTCAGGCTCACGCCTCCTCTCCACCCAAAACCTCCACAACCTGCATAACCTCCAAGCCTGGAATTTATTCTCATTTCACACCATCACTGGAGCACTGCAACGTGCTGGGCAAACCCCACTGCCCACATGGAGGTGGAAATTACATCTGCATGAAGCCAGCATCAGCTCCACCACCGACCCCTGACTTGCTCTCCCCCAAATCAGGGCAAAACCCCCGAGGCAGACCAGCCCAGCTCTGCAAACCACGTCCTGAGGGTCATTCCCGAGACCTCCCTCTCCTCCAGCACCCCAAGAGGGGCACAGCAGGCAGGGCTGCCGAGGTCCAGCCCTGGAGAACTCATCCCGCAGAAGTGCAGTGGAAGAGCGAGGGACACCGTTAATCTGTACGGAGGGAAATGGAGCTTTGAGAGAGAGGGTAAAGAGAGAAGTCTAGGCAGAAAACAGAGGGAAGACTTAGCGACCTGGGTTAGCTTCTAGTAAAGTTGTTTGCTGCCTGGAAGGGCACAAGCTAGTCAAGTTATCTGTTCCCTTGCTGCAAAATCGGGGAGAACATTAACCCACAGACTGCAAAAAACCTGCATTTTGGTCTTGGCCACCCAAGCCCACTACCCTGAGACCCCTCTAAGCAGGTTTTCTTCTGATTAGAAAGTCTTGGTGGTGCACAGATGCAGTCGGGAACAGAAGGCAGCTGCGCTGCTTCGGAAACACTGGGGTTAAACAAAATAAAATTCAAGCATCAGTGTCAGCTAAATAAGAGAGAAAACAAAATTATCAGAAATTCTCTCTTCTCTCCCACAGTGCACAAACAGTGGAGACTGAAAGCTATTCAAAAAGTCACCAAGGGTATTTCTTTAATAAGACGAGAACACGGAAAATGACTGTGCAATAAAAAAAGCCAATTATCTGGGAAAGATACACTACCTACTCATAGCCTGGCACAGCCCTGCAGAGAGGATTCACGCTCATGTGCTCACAAGCCCGTATACGCAGCTCACAATGAACACGGAGAGGGGCGCTGCACCAGAGAGGGCTTTTCTTTGGACTGGAAACCCCCAGCTAGATCCAGGATCCAGCTTTGCCACTGATTTTCAGCAGGGCCACGTTTTCCATCTCCGTTCGCATGCAGAGAGTCGCGTTTCTCTGCAGACACTGAGAACCAGCGTGTGCAGAACAAGCTGGGCACCGATCAGCCGCTGCAACGGGGCAGCGATGCTCCGGTACGACGGGGGACCAGCGGAGCCCTGTGCTGTCCCCGCAGAGCTCCAGGGCAGCAAAGGGCACGCTTACGTGCGTGGGCTCGCTCAGCTCTGTCTCGCATGGCATGCAAGTTCACAGGCGGGACAGGGAAGGCTGCTTGCCTTACAAGCCAGCTCTGAAACAGCGGGCTGAGCTGCAGGTGAGCGGCTTGATGTGTCGCCGCCGGCCAGCTGAGCCACGATAAACGGCTGCTCTCACGCATCATCCAGCTTCCCAACCGAGGCAGGAGCAAACGCCCCTTCTCACACACGTGCGAGGGGCAGAGAGCATACAGGCAGCCCGTTACCGCGGCTCAGCCGACCCCGGTAGCAAACTAACTGCTGTGGGAAGGTCCGAGCGGCCACTTTGCCTCCAAACGGATTTATAGCTTTGGTAAAGCAACGCCTCTGCCCATCCCTGCCCTGCTGGGGCATCCCGGGGATGGGCAGAGCCGCATTGGAAAGAAACGGCAGCTTTGGGGCGCAGCGTACCCTTTTCACAGCAAGGCTTTTAGTTGCTCATGAACATGTGGTTCTTTTAACAAGAACCGCCCGTTTTTGCACCCCTCAGGAGGGTGGACTCATACGTCAGTCCTGCAAAGGAGGAGAAGAGGTAAAAATGGAAGAAGCAACAAGGAATGGGGGGGAAGGACCAGAAAGTATTGTAAACTTGTTAAAGCTGCAACAGCATAAAAACTAATTTTTTTTTTTTTTTTTTTTAAAAAAACGCTCTCCCGCCCCACCCTTCATTTTGGAAATCAGTGTGCGGGT